GAAGCCCTGCGCTTTTTAGAAGGCTGTTGTTTTTCTTCTTCTTCTTCTTTTTTTTTTTTTCTTTTTTTTTTTTTTTCGTGTTTTTGAAGGCTGTTGTCACTTCTGGGCCCTGACGCTGGGCCCGGTTCCCAGCATGTGCTGCTCCCCACCCTTCTTCTTCTTCTTCTTTTTTATTTTTTTTTTTTTTTTTTTTTTTTTTTTTTTTTTTTTTTTTTTTTTTTTTCCGCTTTTTTTTTTTTTTTTTTTTTTTTTTTTGCAGAAAACGTCAGCAGGGGTCTACATTGTTTTCCTTACGTGACGATCTGTGTGGCAGTGGATTGACGAGCAATGATCTATCTTTCATTCTTTATGCCTTTGTTGATTGCCCTTCAAGTTGGGTCAAACATTTAATCACTGAATCGCTGACCGCTCTTATAGGATGGGCATATGGTCGCTTATGTCACACACCCCTGGCATACCTGAGGAGGCCTTTAGACTGCAAACTGCCAACACAAGTTTGAAGTTTGAACCCTTGTCTTCTGCCATTTTTCCCTTTCTATTTGCCAATTGGCTTTCCTCTTGCATCTTCCTTTTCATTTTTATCGTCTTTTTTTAAAGGTTGTGCAGATGTCCTTCGGGACATCCTTTAAAATTGGAACGATACAGAGAAGATTTCCATGGCCCCTGCGCAAGGATATGACACACATAAATCGAGAAATGGTCCAAATTAAAAAAGAAAAAAAGAAAAAAAGAAAAAAGGTTGTGCAGGCTGAGGTATAGGCAGGCCCGTACCCTGGTGGCCAGTGCTATAATCACACTTCCACGACACACCCAGGGCAGAGCGCTGCATTCCAAGGCGGGAGACTCCCAATGGTGGTACCCAGTCCTGCAGCGATCCTCCCCCTCCTCCCACCCCCCGAAGTGTGTGTGTTGTAAGCACAGCCAGCAGGACGCTCAATGGGCAGGATGACCCCCCATACAACATCTACACAGCCTTACGGTCGGCCGGGTTTCGTTTTCATTTGGCTTTCTGCATTTGTGTTTGCTCTCGATGGATGGCAGCCCATGGGGCAATGGTCTTTCTCTTGCCAGTTCTTTGCATTTCTTGATTGCTCTTGAATCGCGTACATCAACCGATCCGATGGCTGGTGGTGTGCCATAGGAACGTGGATCAGATTGAAGACATCAAACTTGGGAAGTGCAYGTTGTGGTCGATACGATTGGGGTGGTGGCTGGAGGTGTTTGGTTTCTTAGTGCGGTGCGTCTCGGCAGTTCTCTGGTGGAAGATGTGGACGATCGGCTCGCAGAATGAGGAAGCTTCATACAGCCCTGTCGGCTTTGATCAACGGCRGACGGCGTCACCAGAGGACAGCCCATGTAACAGTGGTGAAGTTCYGGGAGGGTCGATCTATAACCCGACTCTGTACGCATCGGTTTTCCATCTCAACTTCCAACCATATTACCATCCTCCTGTGAGTGGCAGCATCTCCGTGTTTCCCCTCTTTTTTCATCCA